AAGACCAAGTCCTTTTAGCATATTTTTTGGTCTCTTATTTGGCTACCTGCTTCTGTTACTCATCAAATTTATTACTCTGTGTCACTGACATTCACCTTCTCAAATATGTACCCAGATTAAAAGGCATATATCCTTCCATTCATGACTGTAAAATTTAAATATGCATTTACATACATACATACATGCATACATACATCCATAATAAAAGTGATATAGATAGCTAAAGTAGTTATACACAACCAACGTATATATAGCAATGACCAGTGGTATGTATAGCTATATACATATAGTCGTGTGTATACACACACATACACACACACACACACTGCCATTGCACCACTATTGCTGAAAATAATACAGTAAAGCCACTGGCAGAGGCAAATGTCTTCCATTTACTAGCTAACTGCTTTCTCCCTCTTTTATGATGTAACTGTACCTGTCTAGCAAAGAAGCTGTAAAAGACTGGTTTTCAGAGAAGATGGAAATACAGATTCCAGGTTTCCAATGACCCACAATTAAAAAAAAGACTATTAGAAGGACAAATACAGGGCTGCATACCAAGAGACAAATATCCAGTGTGTTTCTGTCAGCGAGAGTTCTGCTAGCATTTTATATCTGTTTTGTCACTGATACACAAATAAGAGTTCAGAATAACTCACTTTTTGTTTTGTATTTTGCTTTTGTTATAGACAATCCCTCAATAAAACCCTTCAAGTTGACTCACGTAGCACTAATTTATCTACTCAAAGCCTGAATGTTATTGATTGATATAGTTGAATCATAGTCCATATTATCTAGTTTGTGTATGTGAGTTTTTGTTTTGACTCCCATTTTGCTATCAGGGACCATTGATATCACCCTTCACTGTCTCTATTTGCTGTTGTTTCCTATAAAATAAGGCCTCAAGTTTCAGATTGCTGATGGAATGGTATTTATTATACCAGTTGCCATTTGTTTTCCCATTTGCTCATAACACTTCACATCTTTACAACTAACATAGAAAAGGATCCTTTACAAAACCTCTGCCAGAAATACATATTTTGGGGGATAGTTCTTAATTACATTTTTCCAGTAGAAAGCAATGAAAATACTCTCCCAACTTCACAGATACTCCTAAACCATTAAAGTGCATGAAGATACTTTAATGATTTACAGTCTCTAATTTAAAATTATCAGGAAAGTTACTTAAACCACTGAAAGAAGAATAGTTTTTCAGTAATATAAGAAATCTAATGTTATATTTCTACTTTATATTGCTGTTCTTTATCTTTTAAGCTGAAATAAGTTTGCTGTCTGTGATATTATAAGTGTATATAAGGCATTGTCTCAGCTTAAATCAGTGAAGGTAGGATCATTTAGATTGTGATGACTCTCAATCTGAAAATCTTAATGAATTCATATATCAAATATTCATTTCCTGTTATATCTTTATCACAACCTGGTTGAGTGTGAGCATGAAGATCTTCATCCAACAATTCATTCTGCTTTAGTATCGAAATCTGAAACATGCTGGTGGTTGTGGAGGTAGGGAGAGGAGACATAAAATTGAAAATCAGCTTTTCTTCCTTCAGTTCAGCAATGAACAGATCATGTCAAATCACTTGTTAACAAGCAATGTTGATTGGCACATTGATTAATTTCTTGATTTTTTTTATGTTTACCTTAATTCTGAGGTTATATTTATATGCATAAATATGTGCATATGTCCCATGCACCCTCTACCAAATTGCCCATACCAGTGCCTCCTCTGCCTCTTGGAACACTTATTACTTATTATTACTCTTGCTTCTTAAGTTGCCAACTTACCCGTCTGTTAATTTGTGGTAACTTTACCTGCTTGAATTGTTTCTTGTGTTAATCCTCTTTCTTTTGAAAAACTGGTACAATGGCTTTCTCTATAAATTGAATAATTAATTGATCAAATAGCTTTCCATTTTTGTTACATTTTGTAGGTGGCTCATTCAAAAATTGATTAATGGTGTCAAAACTATTTTGACGGTTTAATCAGAAACATAAGATAAATGGTTTGTGGTTGTCATATTTTCGATGTAATTTAAATCTAGTTTCAATGAGTGTCATTTGAGTCCAGTTTAGTTTCATTAGAGTGCCCAAATAGTATCTAGGAATATTTGTAACTCTCATATTGCTAAGCTACTGGCTAGAGTTTGTGATTTTTATTTGAAACTAACATAATTCAAGGAAAAACCTTGGCAATTAAAAAGGAGTGAGAAATTACAAATGTAAATCTTCATAAAAACAGTCACTAATTTTTTTGTCCATAGAAAGATGAGCTTGTGGTCATCCCTTGGAATTGGAGCTTTCATTGAATGGAATTTAAAATTCTTAGTCCTTATTGCTCATTCTTTTACATTGAAGCAGATGTCAGTGTCATATGGATTTGAATATCATCCAATCTGTTCTTCAAATATAAATGTAATTACTGGTCATTGGTTTTGGATAATTCATACATCTGCTGAAATCGTGGAGATTTTATTAACTATGTTGATTAGAAAGCTGAAGATTTTGAACAATATCATTTTGGGATAAGTCACCCCTGCTCCTAATAATAGTCATGCATGAATAAGTAGCCTGGGTGTGGATGATCTGAGTTTTGATTACTCGCAATATCCCTATGGAAAATTTAGGTCCAAAAAGGGGAGTACCTCCAGTTTAGAGACTCTCTGTACATATTTCATGTGTCACTAAAGAGGCAAAAGGAGATAGTAAACAAAATATATAAATCTGAAGATTTAGATGAATAGAGTAAAATTAAGATTTTCCTTAATGAGGTATTATGAAAATCAATAAAATGACTTCCGTCCATTTTTTAAGAAACCTGAGATAGAGTTTTCAAACTTTTTTCTATGTATGAGCTACAGGCTTTCAATAAAAACTGTATTTCCTACTCACATTTAAGTTTTTCTAAACAAAGACAGTAGATATCATTTGTTGATAACCAGCCCCTCCCTTTCCCACTGACTACCCTTTCTACTGATACTGCTGCCAACCCACTATTCCTGTTACTATTCTACATCCCTGATGCCAACCCAATATGATAGATAACGCTGGTCAATCGTTTGAGATAATTTACACAGTGACTGAAGATAAAGAGTTTGTATTTTGATTTAGAGCTTGTATCCTCCAAGAAAGTTAGGATTCCAAACCAAGTTATCTTATGTCAAATCAGACCTGTTTTGAGTGATAGCCACATGTTTTATCAGTTTTGTATTCCTCACCTCATTTATTCTTCACAAAAGATCCCTAGGGCAGGTTAGTCTTATCTATACTTATAGAGTAAAAGACAGAGATTTGGAAAGGGCAAGATAATCATCAAAGTCACCAAGTGTGCATTTCTGTGAAGGTGACATTATTACATAGACATATTCAAATGTCTGCATAAAAATATTTTATACTGAATTATATATAAACAGATTCTGAAGTACCTCCATTAGAGAAACTCCATTTGTGTGGATAAAAACTTTTTAATTTCCATGTTGCTTCTGTGGTTGAAGTGATTTTGTTGTTGATAATATTTTAGAAAATTCTATAAAGTGCTCAAATTACAAAAATATTAATTTCAAAGGAAAGCTGATACCCTTTGTTTATGGCAGTGCTATTTACAATAGCCAAGATATGAAAACAACCTAAATGCCCCAGAACATATGAGTTGATCTAGAAGACATGGGCTGTGCACACACATACACAATGGAATACTATTTAGCAATCAAAACAGCTAAACTCATGCCATTTGTGGCAACATTTGTGGATGGAAATAGAGGGGATTAATTTAGTGAAGTGTACCAGAATGAAAACAAAAAGTACTGGGTGGTTTCATTATATGTGGAATTTTGATAAACCAAACAAAGTATAGGGCAAAGACTTTAAAATGGATACTTGAAAACTGATCATAGATCTGAGACATCCAAGAGCGAATGGAGATACAGTGGGGGATTAGAGGGATTCGAGGGAGAGGTGTCAGGGGCTAAGAGTACAGTAGAAAGGTATAGATGCTTGGGTGGCGGCAAGATTATGGTGAGCATAACTGAGGGGAGAAATCTATTGTGAAATGACAAACATAAAATAATGATATGTATGACATTAATAAAAAATTAACACTTAAAAGTTTTTCTTGAACCCTCAAATCAAGGTTTTTATTAGTGTTATATTATTTTAGGAAAACATTTCTAGAGAAAATTGGAGCATAGGAAAGAGTGTTAATTTAAGTGAAAGGATTTTTCTCAAATTTTCCTGTCATTGGTGGATCTGTGAGTTGAACTGGACAGAATCAGAGGGATTCTTCTAAGTTCATCTTATTGGTCATTAAATCCATTATGGTAAAAGTAAGGGTGCCAAATTGAAGCTGTTCAAACCTGTTGAATGTAATTATTAAAGTGACATCTAGTTTTAGTTGTCAGTCTCTTTAAGTATGCAAACTGTTATTTCAAACCCAGAACCAGTTTTGAGGCATGAGAAAAAGACAAGTAGGTGAAATGTTGTTATTGAAGGTACAATTTTTTTTCAAAGATTTATTTATTTATGCATACAGAACTGGGGTACAGGCCAGAGGTGCAGGGGTGGCGAGAGGCTTCACCAGAGACAGAGAGGGGAGCAGAACAGGCAGAGCAAGGAAGTACACTGCTGTGGGGAGCAGCGGGCCGGTCAGGAGAGGTCTGCCGCGCCATGTGGTCTCCTCGGGGGCAGGCAGGAATCGGACTCATGCTGAAGTGGCTTTAGCTTCTCAGTGCTGTGCTTTAACCCGCTGCGCCACCAGGGAGGGCCTGAAGGTACAGTTTTTAAAGCATCAGTAATAGTGTCATTCAGTTCCAAATGACCACTTGATATTGATATGATAGGGAAAGTAATAACCATTACTTGAAAGCAATACAAATATATCTAGTAAATAAAAGCAAATTGAAAGTAGGCAAGTAATTAAACCTAAGCACTTTGACTGAGAAGCTTCCTAATTCATGGGGTTTTGTTTGTTTTGTTTCTTGATCCAGATTTACATTTTTGAAAATAATATCTACTATCAATCTGATATAAAGAGCAGTTCATTGCGATTAACATCATCTGGAAAAGAAGGAATTATTTTTAATGGAATTGCTGACTGGTTATATGAAGGTGAGTTGAACAAACTTAGTATTCAAAAAAACTGCAACTGATATATTTTATTTTTTATTTATTTTTTTTATTTTTACATCATTTTGCACATTTTTTTTCCATCTCGATTGTAATCCCCGCGGGTTTCCCATCACCAAATCACCCCTGTGCTACCACCATAGTCCCGTGCATTTCCCTCCCTCCCCCCCCATTTTAATAAAAAAATCTGTAATAAAAATCAATTCATTCCAGAACAATACTTTTAACACTATTTCTTCTCCTCATTTCCTCTCAAATATGCCTTCATGTTTTCATGTCTTTGCTTGTGTTCATGTGTTGACACGTGATAATTTACATCTAATTATGTGATTCCACATTTGGTACATATACATGCATTTGTTCAGACTAGATAGATTTTACTGTTGTTGATCTTTAACTAGTGAAAGTGAATGATTACATCACCTAGAATTAAATGCTGATTTCTTTTTTTCTGGCTATTTGGAAAAGAAACAGCAAAAACATCTTCACTGTACATGAAAGCTACTTGATTTTAGTCATCTTATTAGGGACACTTGTCTCAATTAAAAAGTCATTGAACAGAGAGCAAAACAAAACCTACCAAACGAATCGCTTGCACATTTGCAATAACTATTACATCATGTTTTAGTCATAGATGAAAAATATAAGAGTCAGGTGATAAAATGCATATAGCCCAGTTTATCATATACTAATTATAGGTGCAATTACCTGGGGAAGACTCAAAAATTGAGTTTAATACTTAAATTTCAATCAGTAGTCCTCTGACCACCTGTGACTATGCAAGTGTTTCTTTCCACCATTTCTCTTCTTCCATGCAGGGGCTTGTCTTCGGCCTCCCTCAGTGGAGGCAGCTCTCTTAAGGCCACTCACCTGCAATCATACAGGCCTCTCAGCAAGCTTGTCCCTTTCAGGGCAGCTCTTCCTACCTACTTGTGCTTATGTAAATGTCCTTTACTTTACTTTCCTATCCCTTTTCAAATAAACCTGTTCTATACATTGAAAAAAAAAAAAAAAAACTTAGATTTCAGACCTGCAACTGATAATGGCAAACTATTTCAAGCCTAAACTAAGTTATTTGTTTGATTATAATTTATGAAGCTAAGAATTTTCCAAAAAATAAATTTATTTCTTGGACAGTATTAGGAAATATAAGCTTTCTACCTTAGAGCCAATATTTTTAATACAATTCTTTATTAAGGTAACACTAGTTTACAGCATTCTTTATTAGCTAGGGCTTGAAATTCACAGAGTCTATTTTTAATTCCATAGGTCATTGTTTCACTCATTTTGAAAATCTGTGTTCTAGGTGATTGTCTATGTGCCAACATGCATAGGGAACAAATCAAACTACTGCTTTCAGGATCTTATAGTCAAAAGATTTTGCTGGATGAAACTATTTTATTAAAGGAGGGTTGTTATAGCCCTTGAGATTTTCATGTTTTTATGTATATGTATTTTTCTGTCTCTAATATATTTTGTCAGTATCAAATAACAAAAGTTTCAGAAGTCTCAGTTTATTCCATAAAGATGGAAGTTACTGTGAAAACATCAGTAATAATTATGCCATGAAATTTTAAAAAAAATGCAAATACTCAAGTAAAGTTCTTTGGTTGGGAGTACATTTAGTGACTCTGGCATTCCTATTTCAAAAAGACAAATTATTAGAAAGGTCTGGGATGGCCCAATAAATTGAAGAAATAAGTATAAAATGTACTTGATGCCTGAATTTAGAGTTTTCCAGTGCCTAAAATATGATCTTTATATTAAAATTAGTACTGGAGTCGTGTCGACTCCCTGACATATGAAGAAACTGTCAATGTAATGTGATAACTTGTCAAATAACAGTAAACACAGAGTCCTGTTAAAGAACAGGGAGTAAGACAACCCATTTGAGGGACTAAAAGCAAAGCCTTCTGATTTGAGCCTGGAGATTAATATGTATTACATATAAAAAGAGTATAGTAAGGAAAATCCTAGCAAGAATTACTAGCTTACAATTGCATATTATATTTAAGTTATAAGGTATATGCCCATGGAATTAAAATTTACTTGGCATTGAGACATAAAATATGAAAGGTTTAGTGACCCAAAAAATAACCAGGGGATTCAATTATTTCCCTACTAATGAATGGAGAAACTAATAGAACATTTTATGTAAGGGAGTGTCAAGATTAGGTCTTCCATATAAATAGATCATTTTGCAGTGAGAAGCTGGGATCAAATAGAATAAGGGACCATTGAACAGCTATAAGACCTTTTCTATATTCTATCAAGAGTTGATGAGCAATCGGAATAGGGTTAAAGCAGTAAGATAAGGGGAGGCTCTAAAATTGACATGGTACTAAAATAGGTACATCTTAGTGGTTAAATGTAGAGGATATAACACTATATATGACTTAGGGGTATAATTTCACACCAGAATCAATACTTTTAATTCTATAAGGAAAGTGAATCACTTCAGCCATTCATTCATTCCCTCATTCAATGGATATTATTGAAAACCTGCTGTGCTCCACACACTTGTCTATGTGATGAGATACATCAGAGAACAAATCAAAGTAATGGTTTGGGTGGATGAAGAAAGTCAAGGATGATTATTTATGTTCTGGTTTTGGACAAATAGTAATGACTGACACAGAAAGCAGACATTCATAGGAGTAAGGAGTTTAGGGGAAGAGAGAAATAATTTTATGGGAACATTGATGCTTCATAGTGGACTTTCATCCTCCGTTGGGTGAGTAATGTGATCTTAATATCAGTGAACTTTTAAGTTATATACAATATAGAATATGCTGACTTGATGATTGACCAAGATCTCATGGGTTTCTGTCCTCAAGAGAAGGCATTTTATAGTTTATGGCATTATATTTTTAAAGAAACTATAAAGAGAAACTTGGGATCATCATCTGTCAAATAAGTTTATTTTCTTTATTAGAGAACAAATATCTATTCATATAGGTTGAAAGAAAGAAAACTCTTCAGGGGATGGACAGAATAGATAGCAAAAAAAAAAAAAAAAAAAAAAGATGAATTCCAAATAGGTAAAGAAAAAAATAGTATACTTCTGGGCAAATTAAATTTGACCCGATCTGCGCTTATGTTGTACAAATACTAGAACATTCCAGATGTCTTACATGACTCAGTCTTCACAGTGCTAGTGTATATCCAATCATGTACCAAAGAAACCAAAATCAAGGAGCATAGATGACATGGATTTGGTTTCAGCTCTCATGACTGGTAGACCTTGCTTCTGAATGTGTTTCTTTAAAGACATCTCTTCATCCTGTGCCACTCTATCTGCAAAATCTTTTACTGTTCTCTAAAGTGTAATATCTGACATGGGATGTAAGCCATTTGATTTCGCTGATGTTTCCTCACCCAAAGACTGTGAACATGACTATTTATAGGTTTACCTCAATTTCTTGTTTTGTTTGAAGAACAAAAAAAAAAGTTGGGGAGGTTACTACAGTGATCAATGTTAAGGTTTGTCACAGGGATTTAGGCAATTCAGATGCCATGGTCTATTTCAACTTTTTGCCCTGCCTTCGCCAATCTATGCTTCAGGTGTTACACATGCAGCTTTTTTTCCCACTGTCTCTTTGCTTGTTCAATATGCTGACAGCTCTCAGTTTCTAGACCTTCTCTTTTCCTTTCAACATTCACTCACCAAAACACCTTAATATCTGCTAAGAATGCATATGTTCTTATATGCTCTTCAATGCTATACGTGTGATTATTTCTTGATTATGTTACAAAAATCAATTATAATCTGAATTAGTATGTGTGGAAGACTTCTCAAGAAGTAATGTGTAACATTCTCACTTATTTTTTATTGAAATTTATATTCTTTAAATGTCATAGGGGAGAAAAAAGATGACAGAAGGAGTCACATAAAAAGATAATAAAATGTTTCTATGGTGAAATTTATGGGTATGGTGTAATCTTTTTAGGATCACACCGATCAATCTGTGTGTGTAACTGTTGCTCCCAGCTACAATAGCTAATGTCAAGTCTTTAAAATCCTGACACGTATCATTTTACAACTTCTTGTTTCTATTTCTAGTATTAACTTTAAGAAAACTGTATAAATAGAATTATTGCTGATAGGATGGGGAATATAGAGTGACTTCTTAAATAATTTTTTGCATTGTTCTTGAGTATGACAAGAAAAAAGAACTGACAAAGAAAAGTTAAGGATAGACAATATTCTTTTCAACAGATTGTGATTGTTATTCCTTTTGGTTTGTTTAATGAGAACAATGTGAAATGTCTATTTTCACACTATATTTTACTTCTCTTGAGCACAAGAAGACATATTCATTTATCAACTCAACATTTATTTATTAAACAATATGAAATTTCTATAAAACTTGACAGTGAACAGATAAAAGAAAAATATTAGAGAGGTAGATGTGAGAGCCATAGGAAATAAAGTTGATGAGTAATGCTAAGTCTCTGGAAGTAAAACAGCTAATTCAGATAGTAGTGCTATCTGAACTTCACAAGAACAAAAGCAGTTTATTGCTGGAGCTAGCAACAAAATTCAGGGGATGGAGGTGTAAATAAGAAGTGGGAGGTTATCAGTGTTAACAATTATTTTAAGAAAAATTAACAGTGTGATGTGAAAATGGGGGGGGGGTATTAACCACAGATCTACCGACCTCACAGTGGCATCCTCTGGAAAGTCTATCTGTCTGAGTTGGTAAACTACAAATGGATAAAATTAGCTTACTTTTCAGAATACCTGTTAATATTAGCACAATGGTTTTATATTTGCTTTTTTTTTTTATTTCTGTGTTTATGTTGAGGATTTTAAGGGTCTTTTATAACATGTTCTGTAAACATCTTTGTGTAGTGAGATTTTCTTCATCAGTATAAAAGAGACAGTGAAGAGTCAACCTACACTGGCATGGAATGCCACACCATTTATGATTTTTTTTTAAAGATTTATTTATTTATTCATACAGAACTGGGGTACAGGC